ATTCCTTCAAATTATGATAGTTTTCATTCTGAATCTAAGTATACCATGTTCTTCTAATTTTTTAGGATATACTGGACGGTTATTTTCCATCAGAATTACAATCTTCTTATCCAAATGGGGTTCAATTCAAACTAACCGATAAACACACAACTCATTTTATGTTATTAAAAAAGCCCACATCATTTTCAGCCTGTGGTTATAAACTCGGGAGTTCTTTAACAAATGAACAAGATGTAGGTCAGGAAGTTTCCTTCAGTAATGAGAAACACATACCAAACAATGATAAAAACGAAGAATTCAGTATTGGACAGTAAGAAATAATTAAAAATGACTTGATATTTCTGAGTGTTGGAGTTGTTTTCTCTGAATGACCTGATTAATGTTCATAATTTCTAGTAAACTGACTCACTACTAAAAACTAAAAACTACAAAGAGAGTACATTCAGACATGCTTTAGGTCAAAGATTTTAACTTGGAAAATATTGTGAAGAAACCGTAAGCACGAATTTATCACTACAGTAAGACTGATCTTTCAAGTAACATTTTCTTCCAGTGTCTAGTGTAACATCATTTGAAGCTTAATAAATAACAGTTCGGCAGTCAAACATAAGTTTGTTTGCTAGTATTAAAGCGTATTTAGTGTGTGACAGCTGGGGATACTATTTGTCTAACTGGACTGGATTCAACTGACACCCGAACTAGCTGATGTACATTTTTTAATTACTGGATACATCTCCACTTAAGCAGAAAACGATGTACATCAAAGTGTTCAGAACATTCTCGTCTCAAGACGGTAGAAGTGCTACTAAAAGTAACCCAGTAGTCGAATTTATTCATAGTCGTTTTTGGAAACCGAAATATTGAGATTCCAGTACATGATTTATTTACAACTAATAACATTCATAAATAAAGTAACCTAACGTGTATAAGACATACTACTGTATGAACGGACATTTTTTGAATAAACAATTCGATTGTTGATGTCGTGAAATTTTGTCTAGTGAAATGGCTAATATATTTTTGACGCATTCTCAGACAATACGTACTTCAGCATACTATTAATAGTTAATGGAGGAGAAGATAGACTATAGACTAACAGATAAAAACATTGCAATCATCTTTAAATATTGAACTGAGTCGTGTAAAAAATGTAAACTTTCTGGTTGTCTTTTTGACACAACCATAATACTATAAGAAGAGATGGTTTGCGGCTAGCAGTGGAATCCAGGACCCGCGTTTTGTCCTATTTAGGACTCGTCAGCTGGGCCTATCTGCATCTCAGAGTTGGTTTTCACGAGCGTTCTAGATTCTACTGTTAGCCACCAACTGTCTTTGCTTATATTGCTTGTGAATTAGGTCAACGTCTAGGCAATCCTCACAGGATGCACATATGCTCATAAGAGACTGATCAACTGACGTCCTAAACATCAATGGGAAGATTCAAGCAAACAATACCGAATGAATTTAAACATAATACTGTTTGAGATCTTAAGTTAAATGGGTCATAACCATAAATATATATACTACATATCTGCAAATTAAACTGTTTTGTAACTCATTTTCTATATAATTTATACGTTCCATTTTAGAATTGAAAATCAAATGAAAGCAGAATGTAATGCCTCATCCAATAAACTAACTTCAAACACATTAAGTACTAATGGGCGAAATAAATCTTTAACTTTTGATGAATTGCTAAAACGTTTACCGGAATATAAATTAACAAAATCTGGTCAGCTGTTAAATATTAGAAAAGACATAAAAAGTGAATTTGGTGAACAAATTAATGTTCCGTCAACTAGAATAATTAAAACTGATTACATATTTAAAAATAACACAATAGACAAGAATCAATTAAAATCAGAACTTATAACATTAAGGATTTATTCGGAAAATGGTTTGCAAATTTACAATGTTGAAATGCATCCAGAAGATACAATAGGAGAGTTATATGCAACGTTAGATCATGCTAGATCGAAAACATTATCAAAAATCAACAGAAATTATCGTCTTGTAGCTATGTCTTTACTAAACACTATTGAAAATCCCAATGAACTATGCAATCACCAAATGTTAGTTGATCTTTCTGCAACATTGGTTGCGTGTGGCATAGTAGATCGTACGACGCTCCGTATGGAACTAATTCCACAAGAATTGACGAAAAATCAATTACAGTTCGATGTTAATAATGCTTTGTCAGCTAAACGGCTAAACTTATGGAGTCAAAACGAATCAATAACACCAAATAGTACATTGAAGTAACCTCTTTAATGATTTGCTAAAACCATCAGAACTGGGTTGAATATTGGATATTTGTCACAACTTTTACAACTAGAGAAGGCACAAATATTTAGTATAACAGTTTTATGTTGAATAAAATAATCGTATCAGAATTCATTGTTTTATTTTTGTTGATACTTTATTATGTTTGAATTTTGTTTGTATAAAGAGGAATTAGTCAACTGCTCCATTGAGGAATTTAAGTATTTGTTTTAAAAGTAATATGAATAAATTGAAGGGTTATGTTATGAATATTGTATAAAAGGTCGACTAAAATGTGAGGAACTCTTTTGGTAATTGACTGAACACTGTAAGGTTCACATCTTTATGAACCGATTGCAATCTTATTAACGATGATTAGTATCTGTACTGAAAAATAATGTTTAATATTTCAGCATCTGAAATAATATGTGAAAGGTGTTCCAGTCTACGAATCCTTTATAGTAGTCTTTACTCAGTTAATGATCTCTTATATTACTCATAGTAAAAGTTAGAAATTCTGGGCACTTTAAAATCAAATGAACACTTGAAAAATAATTAAGTTCTAAGGTATCAAACTCATCAAAACATAGCATCGATAAACAAGAAAGACCCGATGCAGATGTAAAGTCGAGGATTGGCAAAGCAAGGGCTGCATTCCTACAATTGAAGAACATATGGAACTCAAAACAACTGTCTGCCAACATCAAATTGAGAATTCTCAATACGAACTTCAAGGCAATTCTATTACAAGGAGTTCAAACTTGAAGAACTACTTCAATTAGCATCAAAAATGTACGGGTATATATAAATAGTTGTTTACGCAAGATGTTCAATCTCCGTTGATCGAATACTCTCATAAACAACCTACTATGGCAGAGAACAAATCAGCTTCCATCTAAAGAGGAAATTATAAATAGACGCTGGAGATGGATAGGACATATATTGCAGAGATTATCAAACTGCATCACGAGGCAAGCCATAACTTGGAATCAATTGGAGAGGAAAGGAGGAAGACCAAGAAATACACTGAGTTGGAAGTTGGAGACAGACATCAGAAGAATGAATAGCGGTCAGGAACAACTGTAAAGGATTGCCCAGGACAGAGTTGGTTGGATAATCCTGATTGGTGGCCTATTCTCCATGAAGCGTAACGGAAGTAAGTAATTACTTACGCCTGTTACTCTTCATGGAGGAGCATAGGCCTCCCACCAGCACTCTCCATTCAACTCTGTTCTGGGCAATCCTTTTCAGTTGCTATCCATTCTTTTCATATCTGCTTCCAATTCACGACGTAATGTGTTCTTCAGTTTCCATAAGGTCTTCCTATGCACACTGCCAAGTGCCTTCTCATAGTCAATGAAGTTGATATATAGTGACGAGTTCCACTCTACTGATTGTCCAACGATGAGCTGTACTGACGCGGCTCGGTCTGTGCACGATCGATCCTTATGGGATCCAGCCTGTTGATCTCGAAGTTGGGCGTATACTGAATCTTTCATCCGGTTCAGAAACGCTCTGTTGAAAACTTTCCCTGGTATTGACAGTAGTGTGATGCCTCTGTAGTTCTCATATTTACTCAGATTCCATTTCTTTGGTATCTTGGTGAGTTATCCTTCTTCCCAGTCTGTCGGCACTTGTTATTCCCCCCGAATCTTCCTGAGTAGAACGCGCAGCACGTTTGCAACTACTTCTACTTCTGTCTTTAGAGCTTCAGCTGGTATATTGTCAGGTCCTGCTGCTTTCCCACTCTTGGTTTGTCTGGTGGTCACCCTGATTCCTTCTATCGTTGATGGAGTGACAGCTGTATAAAGTCTGTAGGTGATGCTTCGATGTCCGGTGGATTCGATGGGGATGATCTATTCAAGAGTTCTTCGAAGTGTTCCGCTTATCCGTTCCTCCATTTTTGATTATGAGTGGTTATCTTGACTTCTTTGTCTTTGGCCGGTCTCTCTGGTTTACTATATTTCCCTGCTAGTTTCTTCGTTGTATCATATAGTTGTTTCATATTTCCTTCTCTTGCAGCTTTTCCCCCGGCGTTGCTAGTTCCTCCACGTATTTCTGCTTGTCGGTTCTAATGCTCTTCTTCACTTGCTTGTTTGCTTCCGTGTACTCAGCTTTTGCCTTGGCTTTCTCTGCTCGTGTTCCACTGTTGTTAATTGCTGTCTTCTCGTTCTTCGTTTCTTGAATCATGTTAAGGGTTTCCATAGAGATCCATTCCTTATGATGATGCTTGTTGCGGCCCAGCACCTCCTGACACGTTGAAGTTAATGCTTTTTTGACCCCTTCTCGTTCGGCCTGCATAGAAGTTTCTTCTTCTTTCAGTAGATCCTGTAAGTCTTGGAACATGTTGTTGAGAGTTATCTTGAATTGGTTGAGTTTGTTAGTACCTCATAGGAAGGTTGTATTGAACATTTGTACTGCTGTTTTCCCAGCTGTCTAGTGTTTCTTTAATTTCATTCTCATCTTGGTCAAAAGTAAACAAGTATCAAACTCATTCTCTGAGGCACAAAAGTTATTCAAGTCAAATGGGATTTATAATTACTTCATTGAATTATATTACAGTAATCTAGCCTTTTTTATCTTTTGATATAAAAGTTCTTTCGATCTTGTTTATAACTTACATCAAACGTGCACAAGTCAATTACCTGTGTAAGTGACACAACTAATAATTTCCTTGTTTATCTTGTGGTATAACTATCATACTGATTATTTTTCACTAATAATAAGCTCATTTGTACATTTGTTGATAATGAAGGAGACAAAATGGAAGCTGTATGGACACGAGAAAATATACGTTCATTACAAAATTTACTTAGGGATCCCGAGTTGGAAGATAATAGTGATCAGGATGACGTGAGTTATAAATTTTTCCCCTTTAATCTTTTAAATTAATTGGACTGTTATACTAAAATTCTTCTATTCATGTGTCCTTTTATTCGTGGTAATCTAAATTCATAACTGAAAATGTAACCATGTAGTTTTATTTGAATCGATAAAAACCGATGGCTGACTTATTTTTTTTTCAGTCTACTTACTAATAACGTGGCGATGATCCATCTAAACTGTTTTAGATTGGTGAGAATTTTACTCACTTGGTTAAACGACCTCCTATCTTCGGCTGTGTGAAAGGATAACCAGATAGTAGTTTTTTTGTCAATGAACAAATCAAGTCTAATATATATGCTTATTAGAGTACTCATATTCCCACGTTTACTTCCTTTATTCAGAAGTAAATTGTCCTACTAACTAAAGCAAATATCAACTTGTCTTAACTGAAAACGATCTCATTTGGTAGATATAAATCATGTTTAATATCCTCCATTAGTTAAGTGAATAGAATTTTCGATCTTGAGGGTTATCTCTGTTTAGTTGTTCATACTTTTACCCTGATAATTAAGCAACAATTAAATTAGAATAAAGACCGCTACTCTTTCTTTATTTTAAAGGATGGTGTAAGGTAGTGACTTGCTGCTTAAGACACTTGTGTTTCAATCATTGCGTTGAAGATTCAAACTCGGCTCCATTTCGGCTTCAGAAGTTCCTACACGGAAGATGTGGCACAAATCCCCGAGTAAAGTAACTTGTACTCGGTTGCTAGGTTACACACACCTTCGAGCGCCCTAGTGTATTGACTAGAAGGAAATTTCACACTTTGAAATTACTGTCATACGACCGCCTGTTTATAGTCCCTTCTGAGAAAATACCACTCATTGTTTTTACTTGGCGTGGGTATGTGCATAGATTAAAAGAGATAAAATGAACTCTGAGGACATTAAATAGGTTGGTCTATACAGAGGATTTTGGTGGAAATCTTTTGAAGCCCATGTTTCTGTCAGTAATTGATATAAACTACAATGTTCTGAGCCGATCAATGGTGTATGAACTTACTTTATACACCAGACACAGTGTGGGCCTCTGCCTCACTGAATTATGGATTCGACATTTAGGTCAAATGCCTTGTTGGTGAGCTCTATATTAAAGTACATGTCCTCCTTTGGGCACATAAACAGTGAAATAGTCTGTACATCAGTCTCATTCAGCAAGAGACTGGATCCGTTGATCAATCGACCGAATATGACTTTGTATTGACCCAAGTTTTAATACCTTACATCAGCACATTGAAAAAATGACCTAACTAGATGAGTGGTAAGCGAAGTGAAAATATTACCAGCTATGATGGAAATTTAAATATCAGATATGCAGGATAAAGGGAATAAAAAATGAAGATTTGCGGTCGGTAAGACTCATGATTTAAAAATGGCCATAGAATGGATGCACCTGCTTTGGCATGATCGACCTCTCCCCCACATTTCACCTAATGTACTCTATTATAAATTAAAACTCTTATTAGTAATTTCCCACCTCCTGAATTGGCCCAGACCAACAATATAGGACTTCATAGACTGACACTATATCTTTGTTTGGCCTAATCATGATATTTTCCCAACTTACTCCTCTGCCAGTCAATGATCTATGTCAGGCTAAATGATAGTTGGGGGAATGTAACACATATCTCAATTGCCTTAACCAACAAAGGTTTACAGCCTTGTCAGTTGGACTACCCATTTTACCTGGTACCCTGTGTCTAATCTTATCATTACTATTGACTATTAGGCAAAGTGTCATTCGCGCGACCCAATGATAAGTGTATTACATTAGTTGTCAGGAAACTAATAAGTAACTTGTAGACCGAAAAAACACCTAATAAAAATTTCACTACTGACTTCATTAATTCTACCGTCAACTAGTTCAATAAGTAGTTAGTTATGTCCCATGAATATCAAACACTACCTCAAATATTTCTCTCTCCCTCCATAAATATATACGTTGATAATAAATGCTACACATTTTCTTTCCTTGCCAGGTAATAACTCCAATGTCTAAAATGAAACCGGGCGATATTGGTCCCAAGTGTCGTTCTGAAGGTTTGTCTCAATTCACACTTTTTCAATCATATCTTTATCCAATTTATCAGTCAAGAAAGAAAAACCTAATGTGAAACAAAAGAATCCTGATGATATATGGGATATTGATGAAATACCAGAAGGTACACAGCATGAAGATATATATGATCCGCGCCCTCAGCCCAAGTAGGTAAAAATCCTATCTATTTCATGTTAAATTACGGTCTTCTTTTCCCACTTTACCAATTTATGGAAAATTTCAACCATCTTAAGAATCACTACTAACAGTTATTATAATTCAAATGTTCACTGAGTATTTGATGGCATATCCAATAAACGGATTTCAACTGTAGAATCTTCGCCTGAATGTACCATTCAGCATGTTAGTACAGTTGTTTAAGTAACATCTTCAACCTATCATTACGGTAAAAATTCTTGGCCTCTTGGATATTTATGTATACCACTATATAAACATAAACTTGATATTGAGTCATTATCGAAAACAACAAAATATAACATTGATTATTATTCAACGGTTAATCATCAAACTGGTATCTTTAGTAGCTCTGTGTCTGATTCCAGTTAGGTTGTATAATGATTGTTATACAAATATACATGCTGCCAACCCTCGTATATTCTTATCAACTTATTTCACGTTGGAGAATAACGGAATAAAAATAAGTCAAATACGAGTGATCTGAACAGACAATCAGGGAAACGAAGCAAAGGAAGTGGAGTAGAGAGGGCGAAGGAAAACACAGTGACGTGTGGTGGAGAAAGCTAGTGAACCATCTCAATTTGATAAAGAGTGACCCAATATTTATATTCAGACAAAAATAAATTACAGACACGTAATGAATAGAGCAAGCAATTAACACACATACGATCATATAAAAAGTAATCAACTTAATAAGCGAATGAGTGACAAGGTCAAAATTTGGCCTGAGGAGAATGAATTGGTTTGTTCAGAAGCTAAAATAACCTATATGGGCTTGACATGGTGCCAGCGCCTACAAAGTCCCTCCCCCGGTAGAAAATTAGAATAATAAAAATAACTAATTACCAAATAAGTCTGTAGCGTGGCGTCGAGTTGGGATTAACTATGATCACCGCTACAAAGAAACACGTGCCAAGTTAATCAGAAGGCGAAGGTTGGACGTAACCAAATAGATCCATAAAATCCCAGAGAAGCCAAATACCGGAAGGCAATTAATAGACCAAATCGAGATATTTATTTGCTGGCGATCTCGTGGTATCGAAAGGATACCGAGATCGTGCCAGGATACAAGCTTGGTTACAGAACGTAACCGAATTCGCGCGAAGTCACAGTCAAAGTGTGAGTAAAAGAATGGAAGCAAAACATAGCTGTCATTAGCACAGTCAAACAAAAGCACATTAAAACAAACGCTGGTACAGTTGGTTATAATAATAATTGTTTTTATTAAACCAGTCGTGTTCTCGTGATAAATGTGAGTCACTACAAGTCTATGTTAACTATCCCCACATATCAAACAAATTAAAATAAATAAGATGAATGTTATTGTATGTTCAGTTATTCAAGTACACTTGATTTTATTTTAGTTGTATCTTCCAACTGTTATTTAGGACTGCAATTGGTCAGTCTTTTGTTGTCCTGGAGTGAACATCAACTCTGGGATGCAGGTACATCCAGCTGACGAGTCCCAAATAGGACTAAACGCGCGTCCTGGATTCCACTGCTAGCCACTATCCATCTTCGCTTAATTATTTAAACAGTTATGAAGAAGCATACATTCGGATCATTATAACCGGTGTGATTAAAATATCTCTCATCAAATTAATTAATGTTTTAAGAATAATTTAATTCATTTACTGAAGATACACATTTTTAAGGCCATAATACCTTCAAAATACTCGGTGCTTAATCTATTCGTTAAACTATTCGTTTAAATTTTGACTATTATTTATCTAAAGCACTTTTCTATGTGTTTGTTCATTTCATATACAGATATGAAATAGTGTATCAGCAAGCAGTAACAGCTGAAGATGTCTATTTACAACTTGGTAGAAAAAATCCAACGACAGCTTGTTGCGAATACATGATTGTAAGCAGAATCGAACTTCTAGTTGAAATTAAAATTCTCATAATTTATGCGTAAAATATTTTTATAAAGAAACTGCATTCATTTGTATTTAAGGAAAATGTTTCAATTTTAAAATTAAGCGACAAATAGGAAAATAGAAATCGGTTCATCATCTCAATCAAAAAGTTAATAATCTCCATAACCCTATACTGATAATGACCATATGTTCACCAATGACTAGCTTCGTGAGGGAATTCTCGGAGTTCTAGTGAGAAGCCGTGGCCAGAGGAGCTAATCCGTGTCGGATAGAGACAGGTATGTACCTCAGTACAATGGAAGATGGTCACGCAATTTCGTGGATTGGTTGAGGTTAGACATTAACACCGTTGGATGCCGGGTCAGTGGTCTACAGATTAGGTGTTTGTGTGCGAGACCGAAGGCACTGGGCTCGAATTCCGCGAGCGGGTTCGTTGATACGCACTGCTGAGGAGTTCCACAATAGGACGAAACGGCCGTCCAGTGCTTCCGGGTATTTAATGGTCGTCTAACACCAATCGGTTGATGACATTAATCAAAAAGATAGAAGTCGTTTAGAATCTAATATAAATATTATTTCCGTCTGAATTATTACATTTCTTGCCAGTATAATCAAAAAAATGTAACAGGATCAAATTCAATCTGGTAGTAGCGTGAAGTGCGCTACTTATATTGACATAAGTAGTAGATGATGTTAGTCGTGAACAGAATGTCTGGCAGCATAGAGACAAGAGGATCAAACAGTAAAGAGTGGAAACAGAATGTAATTTGTATGAAAAAGCAAGAACAATGAAGTCTGAGTCATTATGAGACAATTGATGGACATTTTGCAAATTACATATTTACTATTTGATTGTTAGATTTTAATAACAGGTCCTGTAGTATTGTGTCAAGTACATTCGACTGTCCTTACTCGGGTTCTGTTCGTTACAGTAGTAGCGAGAAATTTAATAAAAGAATGACTAAAATCTAATACTGAGAAGTACTGAATACTAAAACCAAGAGTTAAAGCAATACAAAGAATGAATGGATCTGCGTTCACAACGGAAAGTATACAGTTATTTAACTCAGAGCTCTAAGAATAGCTATATTACAAACATGTATTGACCAAGTATCGTTCATCGTTATGTCATTATAGACTATAAAACCAGTTATGAAAACTGATTGGTTTGCCCAGAAATATATAAAGAATTAAGCAACGATATTCCACTTGCAAAGTATGAAGTAAAAGTAACGAAATTGATTTGCTCAGACATTTCTTTTTATTACCAATGTTAAGGAAGATCGAAGGATGTAAAACAGTTCATCATTTACCATTACTCTTCACTCACCGCATGCATCAGGAATTTTCTGTGACCAACAAGTCTATTCGAAGTTAATAGTTGGTATTAAGTGAGAATAGGAAAAAGATGGTGTGTAGATGGACTGCTATCCCCCCAGCAATAACAACGTTATATTCTACATTACAATAAGGTCAGATTCTTCTCATCCATCTTTTCATATTTTTTTAGTTTCAATTTAGTGAGATTTCTTGCATAATTTTTTTACTTACTTTCATAGCGAACCTTCTGGTATTCTTAGCCTAACTAAGTGATTTTGAGTATGTTATATTCTCTAAAACTCCGCCTGTAGCTCTTCTAGGGTTACTGTGGGTCCCAAGACTGGGTAAAGGAGAAGGGTTGGGCATAGGGTCGGCAACCCCATCTTGTAGAAAATAACCTTTCTAAGAAAATTCTAACCGGGATAAACAAATTCAAACCATTTAAACTCTACTCTGGAAGTTGAAGTAAGAGTTATGACGTCTCATGGTGAAAGCCCAGATTCTTTGGAAGTCACTAGGCCGATGCCCCCTCAAACAACCAGAGCAATAATTAACTTAGGTACATGGAATGTTCGGACAGTGTGGTAGACTTTAATGACCAATCAAATAGCTGCAGAAATGAGGAGATACAAATTAGAGGTGCTCGGAATAAATGAAACCGATTGGACCCAAGTTGAACTGAAAAGGATAGATTTGAGAGAGGTGTTTTTGTACCTTGGTCACAAAGAGGAAAGTGCTACACAGACCGTCACCAGAAACTATGCTTTCACTACGTCCACCCACAATTCGGTTGACTTCATCTCTCAGTGACCTGAATTTTCGGATTATAAAAGCTCTGTTGTATTGTTCGTGTTGTCTATAATATTTTGCCATTTTCGAATTCAAATCAATGTGTACATTTGAACATACGTATTTCTATAAGCTAAAATATATAATGATGTTTAAAAGTTAACCGATTTCTGCACAGATGAAGGTGAAACAAATGAACACTTTGGTGTTTGTTGTAGCTGTTGCATTTCATTATGTGGATGGCATTCATCTTCTATATCTTTGACATTGTTTTCCTCTATTTTTATCATATAGAGTGGAAGAGGAATCTAAATCTTATATATATTTTTTGTTACTATAATCTTGTTAATCATAGTTTATAAATCATTTAAGATGCATTTTTATTTTCAACTAACCCAGTACTACATATTTACATTCAAGTCTTGATTCTTTTTCATCCCATAGGTCAAAGTAATACTTCCAGATACACGACTGTCTGACATTATTCTAGACGTCAAAGAAACATTTCTTGATCTGAGAGCACCTAAGTAGTAAGTCCTTAAGTAAAAGATTTCGTTAAATATGGATTTGATACTTTAATTTAAATTCATATATTATTATATACTATGCTACATCAATTAACGCAACACTGAATTATTGTTCTTTTCTTTGTGATAATTATTTACTTTGTTCGTTTTTTACCAAGATGGATGACGTGCTTTTTATCTCTTGGATACTAAGTAACAGAAATAATACACGTTCAATATCGGAATGGGGGATTGTGGAGATTGTAGTAATTTAATAGTTGAATTCATGAGTCGATTAAAGCTAGACCACCATGAAAAACCTGGAAACACTGGACGGCCGTTCAATATACTAAATTTACCACTATTTATTCAAATAATGAGTTTGTAGTAAGACGAATTGAATAATTAATTATTTTGTGGGCTGGTAAAAATAACATCATCAGTATAAGAATAAGCAAATTAGGGTTTATCTAAGAAAAATACCGTTTGACTAAACAGACATCCAGAGTAAAGCCTTCACAAACCTCTGGTGCACGAACAGGTTAGGTTTGTTGATATGATTTCCTATGTCTTCTAGGATATGCAAAGTGTGAATCCGAATGACCCACTCCTCTTGTATAATTTCGCTAATTTTTTATATTCGATTCTTATACTTGTATAACTAGTTTTACTAGCTAACTGACCAACTGTTCATTAAAATCGTTTTAACATTAATATGCTGTTGTTTCCAGTTGGTAACGTTCATTCCAACCATTTGTTAGTAAAATCACGAACCGACCTAAGTTAAACAACATTTGAAAATCAGGAAGCACTGTATAGCTGTTTTGTTCTGGCTGGAACTCCATAGCAGTGCGTACTCACGATAGGAATTTCTTATCTTAAAGTTATGTAAATAGTATTTGGTCAGTCGAATTGTCCATCAGGTTGTTTTTTTACAAGACAGTGAGATTTATCTTACATTACTGATTACAGATAAGATGTCTAGTTATCTTCGTTTCATCCTTAATAGTTGTATTAAGTTCACACCCATAATAACGTGAGCTTTTACCTTTTTAATCCCTTGTATAAGTTTGTACATAGAAGTTTGTGCAGTTAATATACTGCATCATTTCCATAAAATGGAACTTAATTCAGTCGGTAACATCAGTTGAAATGAAGGCAAATAGTGGGTAACTGATAGGTTTTTAATTGAGCTGTTTCAAGAACACTGAAATATTTGAATATTTCATTTAATTCTGTTCATCCTTATTAGTTTCCTAATACACATTATCTTGGATTATATCTATCATATTTGGAATTATTAAGTACTTCTTATAACTGTGAATTAAGAGACTAAAACCCGAACAGGCTTCCTGCTGATAATTTAAGTAACGTCCCACACTATTTTTTGTGAGTATTTATATTTGTTTTCATAATTTTCTCAATAGCTATCATTATTTTGATAATGAGATATTTGATCCGGCGAGATTATCTAGTGAGCCATTACGTTAATTTTGTTTGTTATGCTATGATACCATGCCCATAGATAAATGTATTCTTTATCTATATAAACATTTTTTCGGCATGTTCGTATAATGTATGCACCTAATGATAATATGAACATTGAGTTGTAGTTCTATAAAAGTTTCCACTGACTTACCTCGTATACCTCAACTCACAATGACCACGGTTAATGCCACAGATTACCTTAGTGTGAACACATTACAAGCTACTGAAGAGGCAAAGACCAATGAAATGGCAATACTTCAACAGCATTTCTTTGACTTGTCTAATAAACTTGCAGCACTACAAGCAACTTTATGCACTTTACATATGAGACGTGCTAGATCATCTTCTAGGAAAATGCCATTTCCCAGACAATACTCTAGGTCACCAGAACCCATCCAAGGAGTCTATTGGTATCACCACAAGTACGGCACCAAGGCACGGCGATGCACAAGACCGTGCAAATTAACGTCGTATAGCTATGACAAACGGGGAAATGTGCCAGCCAGACTGTAATGGCGATGACTGCTTTTGACCAACCGACCAGCCGTCTCCCATATGTCAGGTTTAATATTTCTGGTACGGAATTTTTAGTAGACACCTAAGCAGAAATTAATATAGTTCCGCTGACATCCTCATGTCGGACTCATCAGATAATCTTGGCGGACCAAACATATCAATACCAAAATAATAATAGTTATTGAGAAAATTATAAAGACAATTGATAATATACACAAATATAAATGCTCACAAAGAAAAAGTGTGGGAAGTTACTTAAATTATAAGTAGGGAGTATGTTCGAGTTTTGATCTCGTAGTCCACAGTTATAAGAAGTAGCCAATAATTTCATATATGATAGATATAATCCTAGATAATATGTTTCCGAAATAATTACGTAATGGAAATATCTGTGTGATCTGTAAACATCTGTTATATGTGAGAAAGAAAAGTGTGTGCACAACAGTGTATCTATGAGCAGACGTCTGTGTATCATGCGAACAGAGAAGAAAACGTTAACAGAAGTGTAAGATCAAATTTTAAACAACCACTTTGTAGTCAATAATTGTAATTGTGCAAATTATGTGAAACCATGAACAATAACAAAAATTACTTACAAAATAAGTTATTATTAACTATCTTCACAAGAACAAGCAATTAACATCAAGATTTTAGACCAAATCTTATTTTAACTTCATAAAGTATTGTTATTATTATTTAAACACATAAACATGGTCACAAGAATGCACCAAATATATATGCGCCGCAAATCATACAATTTGTGTAAGGGCTAGGATAGTGCCCGGGTGTCCAAACTGAAACAGGTGGTTTTCATAGGGAGCCACACCCCGAATCTTTGAACTAAAGATCTAATACACAAGGCAGTGGAGCAACTTTAGGAGATGCAGTCCCATGGTTGTCGGTGACCAAAGATTGGCTCATACGCCTTTTGTTCTCTCAGGATCCTGAATCCCATGTGAACCAATGGTTTGGAATCAGCGTTTTCCAACTCCCCCAGGTAGATCCTCCATATTCACCTAGCCGGTTAAAGCGCCGGACATTCGCTTTTTGTCCTCTCACTTTCCTAAACAACACCCCCACCGTGAGAAGGCAGTGAGCAGGACTTCCCTGGCAATGGTTGAATGCACGTGGCCATGTGAGAGCATTTTGGGAAGGAGTGTTGACTCCCCTCACTCTCGGTCGTACCAGGGCATGAACTTTTGAAAGTTATTTTTCCTTATCTGACTATCCAAGACAATAAAACGTTTTTTATAATAAAACATTATTTTATCTTTCTTTAGTAAGCTTGTATTATATCTACCAAATCCTGTTGAACCAGATTCAAGTAAAGCAGCTTGGAATGAAGATAAAGAAACTTTAGAAATAACAATGAAAAATAAAAGAGAGTATGATTTTATAAATGAATAAATAAACGTTGTCCTATATTGATATGCTTACCTGCACTAACCAATTAACGTATTGTACAAGAAGTTCACAGTTATTCTGTTGTGAATATTTCAAATCAGAAAGAAGTTATGATGTACTGAAATAAAACTAAGTTTCTATCTATTTTTCAAAGATTTTTTAAGTAAATATCAAAAGACTATACTACTAACAACATCAGATTAAATGCATTGTTGTTCATGACACTAAAATGCTTGACTAAGTGAGGTTTTTTTATGACAAGTTAACTGGCAGAAAATATCTACCAGTCAAACATTTCAATATTTATTCTAACCTCCTGGTAGACCAACGTTACAGTCAGTTATATATCTTTGATATTATTTACAGTTGAATGGAAAATGAATCAGGTTTTTAGCCAGTTACGATTTCATTTAAAAAAGATATGCTTGTATTTACACATCAAGAAAGACGAATTTATCAACTCTTATAACCTAAGTCAAGCTCAGACCAAATTACAACATAGTCCAATTCAGTTAGGGGGTCTAAAAAAGTGGTAATCTTTTATAAATCCACTTCACTGTTATTTCTCTCCAATGCTATATAGCTAGATCCATACGTACATAGCTAGGTGAATAATAAAGTTACATCGATAATGACCACTAAATACTAGTACTGGCTAGAACTAGAACACGAAATGTATAGCGCAAATACATCAAATTTTTCAGATCATGATGACGACACTCACAGACACTCTATCATGTCGAACAACAGTCCACAAACTCCTACCATCTACCCTAACAAACACTTTCTCATAGTCAACAATGTTCACATATAGTGATGAGTGTGCTACGATTGACGATCATTCAACAATGATCTTCAGTGTCATGATTTGGTCAGTCGACCAATCCTCACTAAATTTACCTTTTTGTTCTGGAGTTAAACGTCTACTGAATCTATCATACGATTCAACAACACTATTGAAAACTTTAACATCTTGACAGTAATGTAGTGTCTGTGTATTTCCCACACTTGCTGAATTCTCCTTCGGTATCCTGATAAAGTATCCTTCTAATGGAGAAGATTTTTCGCTCAGATGGTTAATTTAGGTGGAAACTTGTTCTCTAAACTGGATGGTTTGATAGTAGAGGTTTCATTTTCTTTCCAAAATCACCAGCACAAACTTCATATAGAAGTGAGATGTTATTCAGAAGACCAAAGTATGACCCGTGACAAAATCATCTAACTCGGAGAACAAAACCCCACCTAAGGTATCCTTTTTCTAGTCTTTCGACATCTGTCATTGCCGCCAAATCTTTCTAAATAGTGTGTGGACTATTTCCGTATATACGTTTGTGTCCAACTTCAATGCTTCATCTGGCATGTTGTCTGGTCTTACTTATGCTTTCCTAATATTCGTTTCACTTTTGGTTATTCTATTTTCGTCACTTGTTGGCAGGGTGATATTTGTAGAAACGTATGTGTGTTCTGTCTCGATGTCCATCATATTCACCAATGGTGGTCTATTCAACAATTCATGAAAGTGTTCTACACACCTGTTGCACTCCTACATATCCCACATTACTGATTGTCTCACCTCACAAGTCATCATAACAAGTTGCCTGGTCTTCTGGACTTTCCTGGGAGATTGTTGTTTAAAACACACGGTTCGTGCACACTTCTTCCAGTTCCAAATTGCACAAATACAGTTGTCAGATATTTTACATGTTTCCGTTTGTTAACTCCAATACTTTTCTTCACTCACTCATTTACTTCTGGGCGTTCAGTCTGTGCTTGGGATTTCTCTACTCTGCTCTTATTCCACTGTTACTCAAAACTGTCTTCCTATTCTCTATTTATTTACTCACACACAGGTGATCTACAGAGATCCATCCTTCATTCTGGTCGGGCTCCATGTGACCCAGCACCTCTTAATTCGTTGGAGTCACTTCTGATTTACTTTCTTCCAACTTGTTATCCATAGTGGCTTACTCTTCTTCTGTGAGTAGATTTTGTTAGGCATGGAAACTGTTGTTGAAAACAATATCGAGTTTGTTCAGTTTGTTAGACTGTCGATGAAACATCGTGTTAAATGTTTATAATGCAGTCTTTCTGCTTGTCCACTGCTTCTTCAGCTTCCGTTTTAGCTCAGCCACCACCACAAGGTGATTTGAAGTTACACCAGTTCCTTTCTTTATCCCTACTTCTTCAGGGACCTTCTGAACGCCTCATCAATGTAAGTGTAGTTAATAGAGATCTGTGTAATGTGATTAGATGGGACCTATTTAGCTTTGTATATGAATTTACAGGAGAAAATGAATTTACCTCTAGCCATGTTGCTGAACCTATGTAGATTTTCAAGTCTCTCACCGTCTTCGTCCCTTTCTACAAGTCTACATCAACACATAGTGCGTTCATAACCGATGTTGTTCATTCCGATATTGGCATCTGGTCATCCTATCAGGATGGTCATTTAGTTTCCTGAACATTTCTCGATGATGAATTGTAGTCTCTTATAAAACCGATCCTTATCATCTCTACTGCTATCGTTGGTGGGTATGTTGCACTGGATGCTATTTATTGTAGCCTCTTTCTTATTTGATGTAAAGTATGCTTTGATAACACTGGATTCATGAGACTTATCCTAATGGCATATTTTATGTTCCTTCCTATAGCACTAGTGCAAGCTCTTGTTTGTTGAAGAATTTTATTTTTCTTGAACAGAATATGGTTTCACATTTCATAAATTTACTTTTCTTCATTCGAATTGTGTTCAATGAGTTTAACTTATTCCAATCACGGTCAGGTTGTACCTTCTCATTTCTGCGGTTATTTGTGTGGTTTTCTCAATCTCCTATAATATACAGACATTTCATATACCTATATTTGTTGGGTTTTTTTATATATGAAAAATCTGCATTGAGACTTCCAAAGTAGCTTGGCTTCCACTATGACATGTCGCTGCTCTTCTATTTGAAAATCCTTCAAATCACAGATTGGAGCTCTAGTTGTCTAAGTAATTGTTTTCTGGTTAGCGTTTTTAGCAAAGTTATTTTTATGGGATTAGGCTAACAAGCGCAGATCCAACCTTCCTCCTTTACCCGAGCTTGAAACCGGTATTCTGTTTGGAAACACCTTACTCAAAGTTATTTTTGTGGACTAATCCTTTTTTATTTCTAGCTTTTAGAGAATATCAACTTCAGCGACGCAATATGCTGATTCAACTGAGACACTGTACAAACTCAAACAAAACTGTAATTGTATCAACATATGAGTAGTTTACTCACAAACTTCTACTACAAGTATTATTAGTGGTCCTAGGAATTAAAAAATCAATGGTTAAAGATCTATTAATCTGTGAAGGAACATCCAATAACTTTAATCTTCCCAACACAACACCTTATAAATGGGTTAATTATTCGTTTTCCAGATGCTCTAGCATCAAATGTTTTCCGGACCCAGAGCGACCATGCGATAGCAGTCAGAAGTTGAGATAAATGAAATGCATTAGACTTATCTAGTTTCAGGGACATTCTGGTTTGTTTGGATGAAGAGTTGTCCGAGTACTCAGGACTCGAGTTACAGAATTAACCATCACCCTAGACAAAGAGCCATATCTGTCATGACACTGGAGAATACTCGAGATATCTCCAATATACATATGCTTAACCCAGTCTATCCATTTATAATCCATAAGTTCATGATGTTTAATAAAGTCGGAAGTTAGATACCGCCGGAAGTAACATCTGTCTAGCTCTAAGCTAAATATACGACAGACGGTTTAGTAATTGCAGTAAGCGATTTTATGACTGTATGCCATAGTCCATGAGGTAAAATAAAGTAGCCATGAACGAATGTCTATTAGGATCATTTAGAATTATTTGTGACCAAAACTTAAATACTCACTAGACATCGTTGGCTAGCTCTTGAAGAAGTAGGCAGAATCCAGTAGGCAACTGCGATGAAGCATATTATGGTGCTCTTTCATTAAATCATGCGGGAAATAACGATAGGCATTAAAGAGCTCTGAAACGCGTCCACTTTGTTCTAAAGAAAAACCGTAATGCCTACAAGTAACTGTGCCCCTCTGATAGTGACACAGAGGTAAATGAAGAGCCTTGGGTTTTTCAAATGATCAGGACATTCTGGAGAAATGGCGAGTGTAATATAGCCATAACTGTATCCTGCGTATCCCTATCTCTTTGAGTTTCCTTCTGTTGTTATTTCGATTACCCATAGATTTACTTTCTGTTATATTTATCTCAATCTTCTAATGCCACATACTCCACTTCCGATTGGCGCTGCTTATTATTTATATCTGTTAACACAAATATCATGCACTACAACACGGCTTAAGGACTCAATATCATCTAAAATTTATGATATAATCATTCGTTCCAGTGATAAAATGTAATACAGAGAATTATGATTATTTTTTCAAGATTTTTAGACCCTTGAACTCTGATACATATACGTTGGTAACTTCTAAGCGTATAGAAAATCAGGAATCAAAAAACGTTTTTTTAGAATGATGCATTTTAAACGAGCACAAAAAGCCATCCTGTCCACTTCAAATGGAACAAGCAAATTCACGAATTATTGAGCGAATGTATATACAAATGAAGAAACTATCTTGTGGGTAATACGCAAACACAAATTCCAAGTGATCAGTGAATAAGTAGGTAGGCGAACGTGCATATGACGATATACACTCACATTTACAAATTGCAAATGAATGGGAGTTAATGACCAATTACCAAGAAATAAATAATAAATTATTAAAAGAGCAGAAACAACATGTTTGTCAATCATATAATTTAGGTTAGGTCTTAACCAGTTCAAGTAACCTTGTAATAGTGTGAGGGTCGTATCAATGTTCATTCATTGATCTACTTTACAGTTTTACACGGACGATTAGTCCTCAGTTTTCTTCAGTCTTCAGAGATAAGGACATCACAACATGTTCTGATAGTTGAACAACTTTTCCACTAAGTCGTAAGTGGAAATGTCCACTTTTTTTATTTCACATGAGTCCTTGAATGAACTCTTTACTTTTAATGAGCTAAATATTTAGGTTGCTTCTATGAGAATATTTGTCGCTCCTTCAAAATCACATGAATATTTTATGTTTTTGTTGTAAATCTTATCACTCAAGATTAGGAAATAATTCAAAGCTTCTATCCAAGAACGGAAAATTAGACGCATACTCCAGGTGCTATCATGATTTTTAATTATATCTAAACTTAATCTATGATCAGTGGTAGATCTGAACTAGACCCTAAAGATTTTATAATCACTGACAAGTGCGGTGGTATATATGGCAGGATTTCAGGGGAAATAAACGGTCAGCAATTTTTAATCCAGAATTGTAAGGTGGGTTTATTACACTATTTAAATTGGTCTCCAGGATTCTTACATTTACCTCTTAGATCACTCAATGACAATCACTATTGATGACTGTTCAGATTGTACTATCGTGACGGGGCCTGTAAAGACCTGGTAGACATATGTTTATTAACCGTTCAGTTTTTTCATAAGAGACTGCCGACGGTGTATTATAGCGACTGCATGTCAACAATTTCGGTCGAGGGATTGTCATGATACACTTGTTTTCGTGGCTTGTTCAACAGAACCTATCATTGAATCTTGCACAAATTTCACTTTTGGTCCCTATCAGTGTAGCTATCCAGGTTTAGAAGGTATGAACTGATACTGTGTAACGTTCTCTCATGAGCACCCATTGGGGACTTTTGAATATTATTTTATACATTATGTTACTTCCAAACAGTATTTTCGTATTGCGAACAAAAATGTCTGTTCTCGAGCCGAGTGTAATACCTAAGAATTCGTTTTGCCTATTCACGACGTCGGATCAGAAACCTTTTGGTAACATGAGTGTACATACATTTTAAGTGAAAACACTGCCTATAGACCACTTCTAAAAGAGTTCGTCTTGCGTCCACCTGATTATGGACCAGTAATCTTTTAAACTGACTCATAGATAGCAGTATCTTTTAAATTTTGTTGAGATTATGTGATCTTTCATAACCAAACCCCTGGTTCTTTATGACAGCTTCATGTGAATCTACGTGGCTTAGTAAGTTAGCTTTAATTTTTTTGGATTTTTTTGAAAATTTCACAACACAATGAAGGTGTACCAGAATCAAAATTTTTGGGTTATCATGCAAGTTCAAACTTTTATCGAAAAATAAACCGTAGAATCCAGATAACATGGCAAATATTTTCGGAATTTTAGTGGTGATTTTTATAATACTCTGTATGAAAACAGGCCTTGAGAGGATAGTACAACTGCTGTTTCATCCACGTCTCCCATCCCTATACTTTAGAAAACGAGGAACCACTGTAATTCTCACGACGCAAAGTAGAAACTTCAAGAGTGATACGAGTGAAAATTTATCAAACCCAAAACACAACAACTCTGGTAAAAAATACGCTCAATATATATTAATTTACATTCCGTTTGATTATTAATTAGAATAAAATTTCATATAATTATATAATTCTATACAAGATCATTGTATTTTGAAATAACATCACACTCAAATGAGTTAATATTATGACAAACAAAGTGTTACACTGGAATACAAAACAGATATTACTCTGAATGATCATCGTATAGAATGAAGGACGAAAGTAATGTTGAGCAAGAATCACATTGAGTTGGAAATGTGATTCCACCTTCTCATCTCGTCGAATCAACTACATTGTATCATTGATCAAAAAGTAATGTAGGATTTTAATGTGAGTTTAAATACTCTTTTCTGGACGAAAGGATCAATCAAGAAAGTCTTGTTTTTCATATTTTAGGAATCAGTAAAGTGTTTTACTAATTTTAATTTCTAAATCTTAAAACTATCATGTCTTTATGGCCTGTTAATTATTACACGATAAGATGGCCAGTTGAAACACCAATTTATATGACTTTGGCGCTGTGCCAAACCACTGATGCATTAACCAGTGTGAGCAGCCTAGAATCAACTCTGAGTCCTTATTGGTGATTCTTGCCTAGCTCTGCCCGTCTGGTTTCAGGACATAATCTCAGCCTCTACTATATTAATCATGTATCTCAGACACACTCGGTTTACGTACAGGCAAGTCAGATCACATCACACCATAAAATAAAAAATAACAGTCATACAAGATCAGGCCCAAAGTGGCTATGATTGTGAGAGACTGTAACTAATAAAGTAGGAATAACTTAAAAATGAAAAATCGTATAATAATCGTCAATAGATCCAATTGAAGCTTATAATAAAAAAAATGTAAATATGCATATGATACAGTTACTTAATAGTTAGACAATAAGAATAAGTGTATTAATTGTCCATAAATAATTTCTAGCAGTTACCACTTATTTATTCTTCGTTAGAATATAACAAAGACCATACAAATTATGCCTTGAACATGAAATAATGATATTCTATCGGGTTTTACATTTTAGTAGGAAATCTAGTATTCATAAAATTGTGCTATAATGTCTTGCAAGTATCTGGCATCACTTAAGAAAAGTTATATCTAACTGGAGATTTTAATCATTGAAGTAGTGAACATGACAACTAGGATTACCTGTATTTTCATCCAAACGTTATTGTACTATTTAGATGTCAATTTACACTGAAGCACTTTACATAAAATAGATTTTAGGCTGCAAAAGGCTTTGCCGACAGACTTTGTCATGACTAGATGACTGCTCCTAGCAGTTTTTTAAAGCTTTTGAGGTGTGAAAACTTATAAAGAACACCAGTTTCATAGGGATATATAACAGTAGAAAAATTCCAATAAACTACTACTAAACTCTTAGACATTGTCCGCATATTTTAAACTCACCAGATGAAGGAATTACAAAGTTATTGGTTTTAAAGGCATCAAGTACATACAATAGACCATAGGAACTAACTTAATATTCTGGAAATGAAATATGTCTTACCTACGTGCTTGGCAACTCTTTGAAATTCTTCCTGTTTCTCTACAAATTTTAGATCATTTCGCTGCATCTGGCCTCAGTATATTTAATTGCAATTGGTATGATATCTATGATTTCACCCCGGATGAAAATACTGATGCTGTTCATATTTCACTACTAAAAACGACTGATTCAATAGATAACCATATTTTAACACCACAGAAGGCATTAGAACATGAAGTTGAAAATAGTAAACTTGAAAATGGTAACATACATTCTTTTTAAAATTAGCAAATTATTTAATACCACATGTAAAGCATTGTTCCACCTCAGTGTTCGGTGTTGCATTTGTATGAAACTGTTTATCTTACAGAGAATCCCATAAATGTACAAAAAAGACTTCGGCAGACAGGCATATATCCAAAAACCCGTAATATCTTTGACCTCCAGTTTGATAGATCTAGGCAAAATAGGTATAACTCAATAAAAATTCTTAGACAATCACTGTAAACCAAAAAGCAGTTGTTTCGGAATTGTATAGAACTCATCAGTAACGCAGATAAGTGACCCCAAAAGAAGTCAAACTTAGGAATTTCAGAATCTGCAGTAAGTGAGTTATCTTGAGACCACCAGGCTGGCCTCTAATGGTTCATGGGTTTGGCGTGGAACACATATTAGTGGTGACGATTAATTAAGGTTAAACAATAGGGTGAATTAATTAAAATTAAGACTGTAAAATATTGGATGCCAACTCATTGGTGTAAATTTTAGGCGCCAGCCGACAGGACTGTACGTTTTATGACTCGATGCCTGTCAGAGTTGTGAGTGCTTACTGCTGAGGAACCCCATATGTGAAGGGAAGAACCATCCAGTTCCTCCTGGTTTTCGTTGGTCGTCCAAATAAGTTCATGTTGTGACGTAAACCATGAGATCCAAAGGTATCTACAATAACCTGTGACATCAATGGCAAAATGTATGAATCGCTTAACTACTTCATTTATAGTTCATAAAATTACCAGAAAAAAAATGAAAAAACAGAACACTAATCTATAACCATATCAGTATGCATAAATTAATTACCCTTAAAATTAGTTGCAATTATAAAAGTAATGGAAACAGTTAAAAAATTTTCAACGTAGATACGAGACAACCTAAAAACTGACGCGTAAAACTGAATGGATACTGTCTTGAATTAATTAAATTCAGTCCTTTAGCATGATATTTTTCTGAAATAATTATAAATCATTATCGCATAAGCGCCATAATTTTAAACCATGTTAGTAGAAATAGTGTTCTCTTCCCATGTAATAATAAGTTCACTCATATTGTAGGAAATAAAATGAATTTATGTGTGATCTTAGAATATGTATACTTTCTGTTTAAGGTCCTGATTATTTTAATCTTCATTGCCTAATTCAGCTCATAACATATATTACATATATTACTGTTTTATATGTTAGTAGTTTGTAATTAAATACGACATTATTCATGTATACCATCAGTGCGCTGATTTTTTGAAGGTTAGTGCACATACTAAATATCAAAATGCTTTTACTGGCATTTATGGTTTATACCTTTCCAATAGCTTTGTATTCAACCTCTTATAAGGGTTGTTTAGCATGAAATATAAGATTATTAAGTCAGTTGAGCAACAGATATCAACAGAAGGGTAAAAGGTAATTCATTTTTTGAATATTTTGAAAAATATAAACAACACGAGCTTACAAGCAGTAATTTTATGGCCTTAAGTGATTAGCTTCCAAATGACTTGTTATTTTACGGTGTATTTATACCATGAAACTTGTATACCTTAATGTTAGTTTTCCACGTTTGCACCTATGCTATCCAACTTCAAAAGTTATCGGCAGACAGACAAAAACCCATATAATATCCACAAAAACCCCATTCTAATGATAAATATTATTTTGAAAATTAGATATGAAGACACTACAAGTTATTGTAATCAGTTAGTGACAGTGAATTAATTTTATTACGTTTAAACTGTTGTTTTTATTTCTTTGAAAATTAATGTATGGAATAATGAATACTTTGAACAAATATTTTCATCCATAAAAGTGTCTTCTTCTTAGTCAGTTAATCAGTAATTGATCACCACTAAGAATGTTTCATATAACAATTCAGGACTTTCCTTCTATTTGGGACCCATCAATTGACTCATGAACTCAACTATTAATTTACTATAATATCTACAAAATCCCTTTTCGGATAATAATCATCATATACTCATTAGTGACTGGCTTCAAGAGGAAAGTCCTGGAGTTCTAGTGAGAAACACTGACCGATGGAGTTCAACTGGGTCTATTGGGAGATAGTAACTCACTGAACATAACAGTGAAAGGTGGCTCAATTTCGTGGATTAGTTGAAGTTAGACGTTAACACCGTTGGATGGCGGCTCAGTGATTTAGATGTTAAGCGTTCGCGCGCACGACCGATAAGTCCTGGATTCGAATCCTGTGAGGCGGAGTCATGGATGAGAGATGCTGAGGAGTCCTTGGTTTTCTATGATGGTATAACTTCAATTGACTCATGAACTCAACTATTAAATTACTATAATATTCACAAAAAACCCCTTTCTGATAAGAATTCTAATTTAGTCACTATGGATATTGATACTTTCTAAAACTCGATTTAAATCGTTTTTATTGAATTAATTAACATACTTATCGATTATGTTTCCAGTTATTGAACAACTAATTTTAAGGGGGTATTTTTCCCGATTATTTTATATTTTCATAGGCGATGATGATTCCATGTCTCTTTTGCAACCGTTAATGTCAATTCCATTGTCTTTTTCAACTGATAACTCTGTTGTTCCTTTTACGATTGGCAATAAATTATCAAATAGTACATTATCTCAATCTACTAATCAAATAATAGAAAAACAATTTAATAAATCTGCCCTAATTACAATATTTCCACATGAATCAGCTATTCAGTCAGCTAAAATAATATGTGATTATTTACGAAAAACTAATTCTGTAAGTACATAATCATGGGGTTGATTTTATTTCCAAATTTTATTTAGATTATTAATTTTACATATTCTTACCTTTAACATAATTAACTGAATAATTATATTACCTAATGTATTATTAGCTAAAATTAGATGTCAATAAACGATAATTTTATTCTAGTATAATAAGTGTGAGATGTTTTATGGAGTAGGAGTAGATTGGAAGAAAGCTAGGGGTAGCCAGACCAAAACATGGCATAAATCCATGAACTCACTGAAAAGTGGACTGAGCCATGTTGGTAGGTGTTGACTACCTGGTTGGGATCTGCGAGACAATAGCAACTGATGGTTAGAGAGCTTGAATGAAATGGATCAAAACCGTTTGGAATGGTGCAGATATATCCACTTTTCGTGTTCTCTCGAATCCTAATCGTCCGAATTCTTCATGTCCCTTTCTTTTTTCTCTTTCCAAATTTATTTCACTGGATCACACTCTTTGAACAGCATCTTCAAACTCTAATGTTTCCGATTACTGCTTATAATCTTACTACCTCTGCCACTAAGAGATTTGAATCGACAATTGTATCTGTGTGCTTATGTGGCATGGTAACTCGTACTGATATACGTACGTACGAAGTTCTACGTTGTTGAATGACTGGCTGAAATAAGTTATTATTATTATCATTTCATTTTATTTGTGTGTGGGCTGTGATACTGCCCGGGTGCCCAAAATGAAGCAGGTGGTTCTCTTAGGGGGGCATACCCCAAGCCTTCGACCTAAAGGTCTGATCCACAAGGCAGATGAGCATCGTGAGAAGATGCAATCCCATGGTGGCCAGTGACCAACGTTTGGTACATACGTCATTTGTTCCTTCAGGATACTGAAGCCCATGTGCGCCATCGGTTTAGAATCAGGGTTTTTCAACTTCCCTATGTGGACTTACCGTGTCCTCTCAATTTCGTAAAGAGCACCCCAGCCACGAGAAGGCAGTGAGTAGGACTTCCCTGGCAGAAGCTGTATACGCGTGGCCGTTTGAGAGCATTTCGAGAGGGAGGGTGGGCCCTCCCCACTCTCCACCGTACCAGGGCATTTGGGGGCAGAACTGAGTAAGGTAAGTTATTTATGGAGATTGTTGAATTTTACTGTTCTCATCACCAACTGATATTGGCTAAACAGCCACTGGAAATCAGAAACTACTAGATATATACCTCGTCCCAAGGTGAGTCCTCTAAGAAATTGACATAGGGTGTATGACAGTTATCCACAAACAATATTGGAAGGTAGTTGCGCAGTGTAGCGTATGGATTGAAGTCAAACATGTAAACTATTGGACGACGGTTCATTGGTCTGAAAGTCAAGTGGTCTTAGCAAGTACTGAAGGCCCCTGGCCCAATAGTCGTTGGGGTCAGGAATGTGCACATATGGAGTCCATTTTATAATGAAACTACTGTCTAATGTTTCCTGGTTTTCACTGATTGTCTAAATAAGGTTTGATTTTAGTTTCCAACTTTTCTAATGTCCCCACCATACATCAATCCCACCCCAAACTTTATAACTAATTATTTTAAAACTAATATTTAAAGGTTATTGGTATTCAGGACTTTTTAGATGTAGTCACTGTATCATTATAACACAACTGTTCCTTAGTATCACCTATAAAACCTGGTCTTGCTTCTTTCATCAACTATATCTTTGTTTAAGAACTTTCATGGATTTATTATTTTCATCAGCAATAAACTGAAGTAAAGTTAATCGGTAATTGATCACCACTAAAGATGTTTCATACAACAGTTTGGGACTTTCCTTCTATTTGGGACCCGTTGTTTGATATAGGTTCATCTAATCAGGAACTAGCATGTACTTGTTTATCCACGTAAGTTACCATATTTCACATTACCACATGAAGAGATAAAATTAACATGACAATCAAAGAAATTTAAGCAATGGTTGTAACAACGGTGGACATATTTCGAAAATAAGTAGTGAAGCTGCTAAACGAAAGGTATGAAATTATAGTGAAACTCATGATCTAGAAGAAAATAGACATTGAATACAGATGGACCACTGTTATCATTCGTGAATCACATCATCATAGGTCTCTAATAAACAAACATATGTGATTTGTTTAATGAGTAAAATTTGAATCACACGTTTCTTGTGAAGGAAAACTATTGTTACTACTAACTGACTGTCCATACTAAACTAGGTAGAATACATTTGAACTTGTTTCCCACGGGTAGAAGACCCAGTCCGTTAACTATTAAGCCACCTTTGTGCATATGTCATAGTTATTATGCTGAAAATAACTAGAAGCCTATATTCTCTAACACAATTCATTCTAAGAAATGATGATTTCATGAATTTATGGCATATCCTAGTGAGGTCTCTTTATAACATTTAGTCATTTTTCCCTAATGCTAGTCAGCGTTGTGGTGATTCCACCGCATGCCAAGAATACTTCCTCTCCTTTTTGAAAGATAAAATAACCTTTTATTTATCAATTTTCTTTTCTAACTAGTGTACTATTGTTCAAACTAGTTGTTCTCAATTTTCTGAACATGAAATTGAACAAATTTTCAAATGTAACTCTAAGGTGTTTAAATCAGGTAAATTATGTGATTCATTTTAAAATGTAGTTTTCATTTTACATTTTTAATTACATAATATTCAACTATTTTCACTGTGACATACGGATATTTTAAATGATCGATTTTATCTAACATCAATCTTTGATCTTCAAACAAGTATTGACTGTTTAGATTCTATAGGAATGAACCACAGTTAATCAAAGCTGCTGGAATTATCTTATACTGAATTAGCTTGTGTTTTAGTAAGTTATTGTATATATATATATATTGTTGACAATTGAAGTCAGGTGGGAAATTCTGGCTCAAATAGGATTTTAATAACTGGTTATCATGAAACTATCCCAGTTCTCGACAGATTATAAAACAACTATTTAGCCCAACCACTTTAGCATGTAGGCAGTGTTTTCGAATTATTTCTCTTGTGAGTAACTATTATTTGGTTGCATATTTTTCATTACTCGCATTTGTGTACGTCACTCAAAAATAAGTTTCCATTTTAGATATTAAAGTAATTATTATTCGTTTAGCCGGTTAAAGTTTGAAATGTTCCATCATTGAGCATGTAAGATTGTAACCTGCAATCATCTTCATTAAACATAAAGAACCATATATACATTTAAGTTCTTTGATTATTTCCTACAAATATCATCACAAAGAGCTTCATAAGTTAGTAACAATCTTCCTTTAATTAATGAAATATATTTTCATACATTTTAATTCATTTATAACCGTTGCGTTGATATGATTCCGTATGTTTTATTGCATGTTGTCTGACAATAATTCTTATACTAAACAAAATCAGACCTACAACAATAAAATAAGCCTAAAAATATAATTAACCAATAGCATTTGTGAGCTTACAAGTAATTAAACAGTATCACAGTAGCTGATAAACAAGTGAATTTTTCCCCTAAACACTAATCACAATTAAAATGCTAAATTTAATATCTAAATCTATGTTCAATTATCGAAACCTGACTTCATTAAAAAACAAAACCAACCAAATAATAGCAGCGCCTAATCCTTCAGCTAAGGATATGTAACAGTTAAAGGTTTCCAATGACAAAAGTTGGTACTTACCAAAATATTGGTTATAACCTATCAGTGTTTACCTGCGCTCAAATGGGTATAGTGGAAAGAGTTGACAGGTTAAACGTTTTATGAATCACCATTATCTACTTAAATAATTTTGAGTAGTTAAATTTTTATATATAAATGTTCGTGTCATTTCAGTACCAATATTTATGTTACAAATAATCCTTTCGTTCAAATATACCTAAGTCAAGAAGAAATTCCGTGTTCAATTTATAGAGGCTGGGAAGCGTAATGAATCCCATTCAATGAGACCACCAAACTTTGGAATTTATGACATAAACTGCTTGATATTCTTGGTGATCATTTCCCTCTGAAACCCAAACTGAATTCAAGAACATGGTAATATTATATCTAAATGATAAAAAATCGTTGGTAAAAATGTGCATTACTTCACCCAAAGTTCTCCACCCAGTCTGTTATTAACATTCAAACTACTACATTTTTTCAGTCAATGGGACGTTGTTCATTCTCTGAAGGAAATAATATTTTAAAACCATAACTTATAGGTATTATTAACAATGTGATTACTAATATTTTTGTCTTGTATTTTTCAACTTGTTAGTTTCCAGTGTCTTTACTGGTTTTAAGTAGGGTAAATTAAATGGGTAGTCATTTATACTATGCCTTACACTAATTATCTACTTTTGTCTATTCTCTGTACACTCGCCGAATACCAAAGATCACTTAATCCTGGCTTAAGATATCTCTTTAACGTTTGAGTAACATGAACTTTTTGGTATCAAACATTCTGATGATGGTATCGGAAGGAGCGAAAAATGTAAACTTCTGATGATTTCCTGACTAGCATAACAGAGGTGCGTAGTTTTTTCTGTTTAATAATTTGTCTTTTCTTTGCCTGCTCTAAATTGGTATTGGAATTAATAGGAATGGAAACCTGAAACCTCAGTCAAATCCATACCCATATATACTCTTATCATCAAACACTATAAATACTCTTAGCTCATGCTAACAAACATTACCCTTCACTTTCACAAACCACTGAAAAGCTTTTCTTACTACCCGTTTATTTTTAGAATAAACTCATAAAGTCCTTTGTTCATGTTTTAAACACTTAAGAAAACTTTTCCTAAACAACTAAAAATTTTTAGTATGACTGCACATACAATTTTACATTTAAAATAACACTTATACATTAAAGAAATAAGATACACACATTTCTATGCATATGAAAAACCAATAAACCTCTTAAGTTTGACCTTAAAAATAAACATGGCGTCATAAAATTGTTTACCACACAATCTGCACATCATTCCCCCAATCTCATACTATTTTTTTTTCCTAAAAATCATTGACTATTTTCTTTGAAATCACAGTTTGCTCTTAGTTATTACAATCACACAAACGTACATATTTCAAGAGAATAATCAGAACAAACGCTTCGTTTCATGTGAAATCATACGGAATGAAACGATATGAATTAATGAATACCTATAAAACTTCTCTGATGTTTCTTCTCTTTCTTAAGGAAAAAAAAAACTTTTTTTATCCTCTTATTATTAAAACTGCATACAGTTCTAATGACTAAAAGATCTTATTCTTTGTTTTATGTATTCAAGGTAGTTTCATTTTAATCATTCATCTGTGATTGGCTTATTATTATATCTTGAATGTTTATTTAAATGTGAACATAAACAAAGCATTGGAAATCTTTTGTTATTCTTATAAAATCATAACTAACTCTAGTTGTGTGTATTTATTAGCGGAAATAAACGAATAAGAACTATATATATATATATATATATAAGATAACACTTGTGAACTCTAAACTTCTATTCATCGAAATAATCAGTATCATAGTAAATTTGTGCATATGTAAACAATTAATAAATTACAAATCTATGTAAACATCATTTATCGAATAGTCTATTCTTAATTGTCATAGTATTTATCTAGATAAGAATAGAATTGCTATGACTTGAAACGAATCACTGTGACACTAGAGTAAATACCTAATATTTTCAGTTAAGTAAACTATAGAGAAAATTTAAGTGTATTCTAGCAAAAATCAACAGGAATCTGTAAACCATTGAATACCATTCACATAGTGTTGTTTACTTGTATTTTCCCATTGAACACAATATAAATAAACTTCAATGTATATTTTAATCTAACCTTTCTAATACTACATGCTGTTCATTTACCACTATATTTAATCGTTTAAACCAAAAATTTCCCTTGGGCTATAATATATTACTCGTAAGTAAGTAACAATAAATGTCGAGAATCTCTTGGAATACGTTAAATGTTCACTATTTTTCAAAACTCAAGCAACTGTACATAATATCCCTTGCAAATAATATTCGGTTTCAGGGGTCACTAATTCTTACACCTTTAACCATGTAAAAAATCAGTATTATTTCATAATCATATGGTTTACATCATATACTGACCCTATTTCAAGAACCAATGAAGACCAGGAGGAACTGAGTAATCATTTCGTCTTTTCATGGGATTCTTCAGCAGTGGATATTCATAATTCCACCAGGGATCAAACCCAATTTTCAATGGTGGTCTTACAACAATCGGTTCATAATCTCAATCAAAAACCTAAAAATCCCCAAAACCGAATACTGATAATTATCATTTGCTCACTAGTGACTAGCTTCGTGAGGGAATTCTCGTGAGCAGTGTAGCCAATCTACATCAGTTAGACAGAGGTGTCTACCTCAGTACAGTGAAAGATGGTTACGCAATTTCGTGGATTGGTCAAAGTTAGACTTTGACACCGTTGGATGCCGGCTCAGTGGTCTAGAGGTTAAGCGTTCGCGCACGAGACCGAAGTTCCTGTGTTCGAATTCCGCGAGCGGGACCGTGGATGCGCACTGCTGAGGAGTCCCACAACAGGACAAAACGGTAGGCCAGTGCTTCCAGGTTTTCAATAATGGTTTACCATCAATCGGTTCATGATTTCAATCAAAAACTTAATAATCTCCAGAACCCAATACTGATAGTCAGATCTGTCAGACAGTGTTTAACCTTTATACCATTGAATTAACATCTAATAGTTTACATTTACAACTCTGGTCAATTCATTATATTTTGCAACCATTTTCCAGAGTCAGTGGAGATTAAATAACTAACTCATATAGGATATGATTGTTGTTTTATGTAACGGTTAAAACTTGAAAGTCTATCTAAGCTTCAAACCTGCCACACACTAACTGAAACTGTATAATTTAATTGTTAAAACAACATTAAGTTACTGTTATATAAAGACAGAAGACAAACAAGTTATTATCAGAAGGGGTTTTGTGGAGATTTTAGAAATTTCACTGGTTGAAATCATGAGTCAATTGAAGCTAGACCACCATGGAAAACCTGGAAGCACTGGACGGTGGTGGAGTTCAACCAGGTCGGTTGTGAGATATCAACTCACTGAAAACAATGGTGTATGGTGGCGCAAATTCGTGGATTGGTTGAAGTTAGACATTAACACCGTTAGATGCCGGCCAGCTCAGTGGTCTAGTGATTAAGTGCTCGTGTGCAAAACCAGTAGACCCTGGGTTCGAATCTCGCGGGGTGTGGGATCGTGGATGCGCGCTGTTGAGGACTCCCATACTAGGACGGAACGGCCGTCCAGTGCTTCCAGGTTTTCCATGGTGGTCTAGCTTCAATTGACTCATGATTTCAACCAGTGAAATAAGTTATTGTTTAGACACCTGAATAAAATAAAAAGCTATCTTACAGACTCATTTCTAATGCTGAATATATGAACTATGATTTTGTTACTGAATATTATCCTCATGTAAAGTTCAATCACTGGACATAGTAGTTAACATAAAGCTCTACTTATAAACACTATACATTCAGTTAGTCGATTCATTATTATCTGATATTTACTGGGATAGATGTAATTAAAAATAATAATGAAAAAAAAAGAGTTTATTTCATCAGATTAAAAT